CATGCTTTAACACAATGTACATGCTTTAACACAATGTACATGCTTTAACACAATGTACATGCTTTAACACAATGTACATGCTTTAATACTGTGAACACATCCCACTGTTTTGCTAACAAAGAAGCAATATTGATGTCAGTTTACATTAACAAAACTGTTACCATTTGAACTATCAATATTGCTATTTTGTTAGCAAAACAGTGAACTACATTGCAATACTGGTGGTTGAGTTGCTTTTTCGTTCACAGTAAGTCAGTGCACAAGTCACTCAAAAATCAACGGTTGTAGGAATATTCAATTTCACAATGGCCATCTGTTCAATTCATTTATTCATTTGCATAAACAGCAAAACAAACTGATTGGGTAGTTGAACTTTACCAAAATTATGAGTATATCAGTTTGTCAATAGGTAGAAATAGCTTTCATGAAAAAAAGACAAAAAGCAGATATGTATGTCAGATAGTTTTATCTATGAAAGAAGCACTAGTTTACCATATATGACCATGAGGTGATTTAAATATGGAAGTGATTTGCAAATTCTATGGGATTTTAAAGATCTATTAAAATAGAGTCAGAATGTATTATTATAATAATAATTAGTTTGTGTTAATTATGCAAGAGCAAATTGATGATTAATATTACGCAAGCGTTCAGAAATTTCTTATACAACATCATACCATTTCAAAATCACAACCAATGATTGTGAAATCAACACTGTTACAGTAGTTAGTTGAATGATGTTATGACTTTGCTTTGAAACCAATTGTGAAATTAATTGCTGTTAATAACTGTTAAAGAAATGATAAACTTGAAGACGAGAATCAACAGGTGGTTGGATATTTTTTTTTTTAGGAACTGGTATTATCAGTTTTGGATTATTAGAATATTATGAGGATTGGTCATACATTTTGAATAACAGCTGACACACATTTATACACCAACTACGAAGTGAACAACCATACACCATGTGCATGATGCATATACAGTCAAACCTGTGTATAGCGACTACCTAAAAGGACAGTCAAACCTGTGTATAGCGACTACCTAAAGGACAGTCAAACCTGTGTATAGCGACTACCTAAAGGACTTCATTAAAATATTCTTTAGAGGCATGTGGTTTAATATGTGGAGCTTTGAGTAATTTATTTATAAATACCAACTCATACATTTGACATATGTGTCCAGAAAACAATGAGATGGTTCTTAGGAAACAAAAATAAATTTATTTGAGTTGATCAATATCAGATGAGTTTGATTAGAGGAAATTAAAATTTGTTTCATAAACAGAATGCTAAATGTTATTTTGGTCTCTGAACAAAGGCAAACCTGCAAAACTATTGCTGAAAGGGTGGTCACATAAGATAGGTAGACTTTATACGCAAGTTTCTCATACATTATATCTTTGGACTGCCTAAAAGTGGGCACTACAGGTAGGGTTGCTTTATATAGAAGTGGTCACTAACACAGGTTTAAGTTTAAATATTATTGATCTAGTGTAAAGTTTAATCAAATGCTTACATCTGTCCCCTGATGTTTGGTAAAGTGTGAAAAAATGCACTACCACATTTTGTATGACATAAAGTGAAAAGAAAATCACCATGCAGGCAATGACAAATGACGCACAATGCACTGTTTTGATCTGATCCGATTCCACCATGTTATTTACAAGGTTAAAAGAAAGCGAGAAAAAATTACACCAAGATATTGACAATGGTTTTAGAGAAGGAGATGCAAAATCATCCACTCAGGCATGGAAAAAAAAGAAAAAAAGAGTATGTGCAAGTTGTTTGACAGACTGATATACTCACTGTTGCTGTTACTTGGATAACAGGAACTGAGCCATTGCTTTCTTTGCTTATATCATCTCTAGATTTACCCTGTGCTATTTCTAATAATGTTAATGGTCTGGTATCACCATCATCTTGTATTACCTTGTGCTCAGGCGAATGTGGTTCCGGGTAATAATGCTCAGTTGATCCTGCAACAACAAAACCAGATGGTAAAATTAATACAACCTGCAAACATTTAATTTTGTATATATATTTCAAGGCCTGTAATTGTTCATGCTTTGAAATTCAACATCACAATAACTAACAAATATTTCGAGGAATAGCATATACAAGTATATTGACCAGGGAGCATTCAAGTTAGCAGATTTTGATGATTGGAAAACATGTCTCCACGGCTAAGTCATACCTGACTGTTCTATAACAGTGATCAAATCTAGGCTCATGTGCCACAAATAGTTAGATGCTATTCTGATTTACAAATTGTCTTCAATGTACAAATAATAAAGTTATTAAATACATGTACAACATACAACAATAGCAATACAAATTAGTTAGTTAGACACGGACAATGGAATTTATTCACAGAAAAAACCAAACCCCCAAAGACTTCAGCAAGATTACGATTTACCAGTCATTTGGTAAAACTATTGTTATGTACCGGGTCACCATGCCATTAGCATTTTGAGCAAACAAAATATCTGACATAGCAGTGTTAAGTAACTGAATAAGAAGATCAGAAACAGTTTGAGAACACAATAAAGCAATATACAGTTCAGATACTAAAGCTATAAATTTACCAGCAAGTACAGTGCAAGCATATTTCAACAAGTCAGATGAGAAAACATACAAGACATGGGTCCACATGTATAAGACTATTAGTCATGAGGTCAGTGAAGCTTAAGATGTACATTGTTACAAAGATGTTTTTAAGCACAGCAAGTTATACATGTACATATATATATATAGCAGCACAGTTACATCATACAATTTTTAATGGTAGTACCATCTGGTGTAATCAGTATACCTTTCTTGATACTCTGATGAACGGGTAAAGCTGGCTTCTTATTGGCTGAGGGCACCTTCACAGGTGTATATGTGTCAGTTTCATTAGGATGGAGTCTCCCAACTATTTGATGACCAATATTATTATTGTTGTTATTATTGGAGTTTAAATTGGACATGCACGGGTCTCTTAAATTGTTAGTTGGATGAGAGAGAGATTGTACTGTTGAGGTTGAAGATTCATCTTTCAGAGAAGGAACATTTGTTTCAGTCTCTATAAGCTTTTCTTGACCGACATGTTGCGTGGCAGTGGTTGTAGATTGGCTGATACAGAAATTTTGAGGATTTTGAAAGTATGTAAGGACAGTCTGTGCAGGAACAGCATTGCTTTCGGGAACACCACGACCACCTGGTTCACTCTGTACTGACTCCCAACTAGCATGGATAACCCTCTTCTTTTTTTCCCACCATTCCCGTGGACTGATCCTTTTAGCCTCTCTAATTAGACTTGCATCTGGAATAAATAGATCACTAGAGGGTGTCCCAACTGCAGGCATTGTTAAGACTTTTTGAAGTGGCGTTGAATGATCAATTGAAGAATATTGTTTTGAGTTGTGCATTGGAGCATAAACTGTTACTGGTGCTTGAAGGTAAAAGTCACTTGTTTTTTCATCATTTAATGGAAATTTCTCTTGCGAGGAAGATGTTATTGAAGATACAGGAGTTGAATATTCATCAGAGTTATCCATCAACTTCAAGGCATCATTTGAGATGTATCTTGTTACTGGTGTTTGCAGGTCAGATTCAATTGCTCTTTCACTATGGACAGGAAAATTTTCTATCCCGGAAGATGTAGTTGATTGGTCAGAGTTTTTAAAAGTGCAACCTCTAGCTGCTTGAACACTTCTCTGGCTTTCATACGTCGGCGTGAAATATGTGTATGACAACTGTTGAAATATTTCATCTTTCTCTTGATCTGAGAGCATTCGTGTTGGTTTTGTTGACCCAATATGTCTTCCTGGTGGAAGGTGAGCATTACACCAATGTTTGTCATTACTTTTTTCTCTTTTTGTCTCAGATTTTGCCAGTGGAAATGTTTTATCAGGGATGAGTTGATCCTTTGAAATTTCATTGCTGGAGACAGATATAAGTTCATCTCTGAGTTTTCTGAATTCTTCCATAACCTTGTCGTAATGTGAAGTAGTATCACAGTCGACTTCGGTGCCAGATAGGATATTAGGAGTTGAAGTGGTTTGCTTGGAAGAAGTAGGAAAAAAATCAACATCTTGCTTCTGTAAGCTTTTACTAAGAGCAGCAGTTTTTCCCACAGAACTGGCTCGTTTGGGTGGCTGAGGTGAAGATTTCAAGGGAACGAAAACTGAAAGGGGTCTCAACTTAACAGGAAATCTGGTTTCCCCATTACTGGCAATGTTAAGGGTCTTGTTGATTGCATCTGCCAGATCACCCATGCTTTTAACTAGTCGAGCAGGACTCTTGTCTGGAACAGTCTTTCTTGGTTCTAATTTGAGGTTTTCTACTTCATTGTTAACTTCCTGAGAAGACTTTCTTCTTTTTGGCAGTGAAAGTGCCTTACTTGGCAGAAGAAGATCTAGTCCACTGGCAAGACTAACCGATTTTTCAGCAATCTCATGAGCTGAAAACGTGAATGCACTTGCACCATCTTTACTTTCGTTCTGTAAATATTTGTTATCTTTATTGTCTAGTTTTGAACCAAGGCTTCTTAAACTTGTGCTGTGACTTGGTAGATTGTTTGCTAAGCTGGGAGTCACTATTTCAATCAGGTCAGAAATACTTCTAGCAAGCTGGTTAGCAGAACCTATCAGCGGGCTTTTGCTATTTTCATGGAGAGTGTCTTCAGTTAAACTCTCCTGTTCTGCTTGAAATCTCTCAGTTGATGAAAGTATATCTGGATCAATATCAAAATCATATTCCTCTCTATCTTCATCTTTATTAGATACTTCAGCATCTTCAACATAGTTGAGACTTTGGGTATCAAAAGACACTGCTGTCAAATTATCTTCATCATTCATTTGGTTAATGACATCTGTTATCATGTGAGAACTTTCCCCAAGAAGAGAAAGAATTTTTGCCTCTGATTTTGTAATAGTGTCGGTCTCTTCACTGCCAGTACTGGTATAGAGATATTCAGGAAACCTGCTATCTTCTGCACAGGATTGAACTGAAAATGTAGTGCCACTGAGAGATTCTCTTGCACTTATTGGGTACCCAATGTATTCAAGTATACTACAACTGTCTGGTGTCTCAGCTTGTCCTAGGTTACTCACAGAAAATTCATCGCAACCTATCTCAGATGCCACTGAATCATCTGGTGTGAATTGTGATTTGAACAGTTCATCTAGATCATCATGGCATGTAATTTTAGATGTCTTGTACTCTTCGAGATGGAATGGTGACATCTCTGTCTCACCAATGATTATCTCAGACACAGAGGTATCAGACGTATTTTCATCTTGATTAAAACTAGACTTAGCCATGTGCATAATTTCGGATCTATCAGAAAATGTTATCATTGTTGGCGAGATGATCTCCTTTTTAATAATGGGAGTCTTTGATAGTGGTGTCATCTCTAGGTTTTGGGGTTTAGTATTATCATATAACCTTGCACAATCATCTAACAAAGCTGCATTCTCAGAGCAGTGCCGTGGTAGTTGGATTCCTGAAGGCTGTCGCCTGCAGGAAAAGTATCGAAGCATGTTTTACAAATGAGTGAAGCAGACATGTCTCCCATTTCTAGTAAACTATCACAGTCATCATCTAAGTAACTTCTAGGAAATGATGACCTGATATTTAGTATATCACCAGTGGAAGTTGGATGATGGTTTTCTTTATTCTCTTCCACAGGAACAATGCAGGCCAAATACTTTTCTTCTTTTGAAACATCATTGATAAAATCTCGTCTTTCAGGAGTCT